TTTGGACAAGTTAAATTATATGTAATACTAGGAGTTTCAGGAAAATCTTCTCGCAAAGTAAATTGTTGTGAAAAAAAATCTGTACTAGGAGCCAAAGCCATGTTGAATCGGACTCCCAGATCTTTCGAATGTGAAATACTATTAGTTGCAAATTCAATTATTGCTTGTAATGCAGGTTTTCCATCAATTTCGGTAACTTCACAATCATTATTTGATGGATCTGATCCATCATCGAAAACCTTTTGATAAATAAAGATATTCATTAGTAATCAATATTAATACGATAGCATATATATACATATACAGTAATTCTCGATATAAAAGGTTCGCATTCATAATAAAAATTTGAATTTACTTATATTGAGAATTCATTAATAACATTCTTATATGGTCTATATTTTCTATATCGAGAGTTATTTGTATAATATTATTCTAAATTGTATAATTAATTAAATTCAATTACCTTAATTATCTGTCATATTCGATCATTTATTATAATGTAAATTAATAATAATAGTAATAGTTATATACACAAATGATACTAATATCTGAAATTACTTTACCTGTTTTTTCTTATTTTCTTCATCCGTCGTAACTACAGAGTATAAAGTTAAGTTTTGATCATAAACAAAACGCTGATAGCAATTATTAATAAATTTTGTATGGCCATCTTTTAATTTGAAAATAGTATTTCTTAAAGCTGTCTAATTAATTTAAAACTTTAATGTTAATATATATATATATATATTTAATAAATAGGAAAGTATATGTGCTTATTTATAATATACACACCATAAAGTCGTAATCTGATTTAAAAGTTTTTTCACGTAACAACTTTAATTCATTTATTATGTCTACAGGTTGATAAGTAAATCCCTTTGGTGGTTCTTCATTGGCCTGATCAAGGAAAACATAATAAGCTGACATGAAGTGCGACACAGCATCAATCGTCTTTTGTTAAAAAAAAAAAAAAAATTAGCATATGTAATTATGAAATTTTTAATGAAATCAAAAAATATTAATGATTACATCTTTAGCGAGTTTATCATCAAAAGGAAAGCTCTCAATACATTTCTTAGCATCATTATATTTAATTAATTCATTATTACCGGATGCTTTTATTACTTTCTTGCATTGGGATTTGGGATCAATCTTTTTTGATTCTGAAGGTAATAAAATGATTGCTAGTAATGCTACAAAGAGTATAAGGTATATGTTAAGTTTTGAATAAAATTGAATTATTTTCATGATCGATTTATATTAAATGTGAGTTGTATTAAGGAATACTTTTTAGAAATTCACGAAAAGCTTCGTATAATTACGTGCTTATGTATGTACGCGTACTTAAACAACAGGCAACCCTTTTTATAAAAAAATTTTTTTGCCCTTTTTTTTTTTTAGAAGATTGGCGTCCATAAGCTTGTTGCAATTATGATGTTGCTACGCATGAATTTAAATTTGAAATTCTAAAAATAACTCTTATAGACGAAAAATGTCAAGCCTATCATTTTCTCTTAATAATTTAGCATAAATAATCTCTTATCAGTGCTTGGATTTGAATTGATAGGATTATCCTGAATAATTGTCGAATACGAAATCTTGTTATTTGGATGACGATTGTACTAATGCATAATGAGCTATCCGGATTTAATACGGACTTAATACGGATATTCTTTAGTGATTATATAAAAAATTATTTGTATTACGTACAATAAGTACGTTCATTCCATGGTTCTTGTTTATACTTCCATTGCACCAATCCATAATTACCGATCATCAGGTCTAAGTCAAATTATACCCTGGTCACTATATCAAGATCGCAGGGCATAAATCAGCTATACCTAACTGCCCAGGATATAACTATTACAAATGGTATAATGATAATCAACTCATTAATTTTTTTGCACTCAAAGAGTCCTGTGCGGATACCCTAAATTTCCCCAAATCCTGGTTGATACCATAAATGCTTTTTAGATTGGGCAAAGTGAATCACTCAAAGGTTAAAAATTGCAAGACCTGGTGTAACGCAACGCAAAATTTCGAACCAAAATTGATAGTTACACGAAATTTTGCTTATGAGACTATCTTTCACATTCTCAAAATTTTAATATAATACATGCTATACATGCTGTAGAAATTATTTCAGCATAATTTCTACCTGCATTTTGGCATGCGGCATTGCCTAAAACCAAATTTCATGCCATAGCTAATGGTCAAAGCCTAAAGTCGAAATTAATGTCATAAGTGCGAAATTAATAAAGTATAATTGATATATCACTGATTGATGTAGTGATATTAGGTGATGTAATAAGAATAAAAAAAAGTATATTTATTTAAATAATTTGATTTATAATTTTTTTTTATTTTTCATTTTATTGTAAATATTATAGCGATAGTATAATTAATAATTATTACGTAAAAATTACATAACTACTCTAATATACAGTAATTATATTATTCATAAATTATGGCTCTACTGAAATATCAGTGCTACTTTCGGCACATCTGCAACTAATTTTTACGGTATGTATAATACATGCCATATTTGCGTTCAATATTAACCATAACGGTATGTTTTATTATTTTAATATGCGGCCGTATATGGGTCATGGACTAGTAAAACCCCCTTTGACAAATAATTTGAGTTTTGAGAAAATGCAATTGATATTCGTGTTACATAAATTTTTGCCCGATTTATTTTTAGATTTAATTACATCGCAAAAATTTTTGTTATTATTAATACGATAATAGTGAAATATCGATATAGTACTGTACTATAACATTAATTAGTTAATCACTTCAAATTCTTCAAATTTAATTTATTGGACAATTTCCATTTTGAATCTATTTTTAGAATATTGCATTTTTAAAGAAATGTTTTTTAAATCGAAAAATCTTAATAATTTAATTTGAATCAAAAGGTTTAAAATCGACCAAAAGTGTCGAAGGGGATTTTCCTAGTCCACGATCCATATGTTTATTTTGATTTCGAATCAAAGTCTAATGCGATCATTTCATCCAATATTTCGAATCAAAGTCTAATGCGATCATTTCATCCAATCAGGGATAAAATTTTTGTGTCGACCACAATTGACTAAATTAGCTCATTATGCATTGATTAGCCGAGAATCGGCAAATCAAATTTCACATCTGGCATGTGATTGGAAAAATATTCACAAACTGAAAATCACTTATAATTAGACATGCATTACATTAGATAAATTGATGAGTGCTAGGAACGGAGTGCAATTAAGTGCATGGTTATCTGAAGAGTTAAATGATGTATGCAAATACAAATTTCTGATTGGATATAGTTTTATCGCGATTTATGGTTGTTAAATTAATGCTACATGTAAGTTATTGTAACTTACACTGACTTAACGTAAATTACAATTATTTATGCTGTAAATTACAGTAACTTACACGTAACTTACCATGTAAAGCAAGTTGTCAGGTAAGTTTTAACAACCCTATCGCGATTTCAAATTGATGTACCTTTTTGATCAAATTTATAGATCGCTGCACCCATACAATCACCTGATTGTTGCTCGATTGCGTGATTGTAAATGATTGTAAATAATTATAAAGTGCATTTTTTGTCTAAATAATTTATTATTTCCATAAAATTTGTCAGCCATATCCATGCACACTAAAAAATCATTATACAATCACGCAACCAGACAACAATCAGTGATTGTTCAAGTGATTGTATTGGTGTGCAGCGATCTAAAATTTATAAAAGGCACATCAATTTGTAAACTGACAAATGGAATGGAATCCTGATTTATCAGGTCCGTGGTATATATGCAGATTTCACATAACTTTATTATATAGTTAAGTTTTAGTAAACCTTACAAAAAACTGGTTAATAATAGTTAATATCTGAGTTGTCCGTCTTATTTAAGCATTAAAAGCATTTTTCTACTATATACTACAAGTTTCATAGGAAGGCATTTATTTGATTGGCTAATTTGTGTTGAACAAAAAATGTGATTGCTTGCCAATCAAATCAAAAGCAAGCGGAACTGTATGAGTGGAAACATCCAATTTTTTCATAATTTTTATTGTGCATAAAAAATTTTTGAACAATTCATATGCAAGGTTTGCGTGACTATTGAGATTAAAGATGATATTTTAATTAATTAATCATCGTAAAATTTTTTGAGTTACTTATCAGCTACTTGTCAACTTTTATATAGTTTACTTTATGGGTCTTTAGATAATTTACGAGCTCTTATCGGTTATTATACAGTTATTATATAAATTTTTTATAGTCAGTACGTACGTATGCACATATATAATTTAGACCATTTGGTAATCACAATGACAGACTGTAAAACTTCACTCATACGCTTATAAATAACGAAACATTCGTTTCTAAATAATTTCTTGGAGTTACTGATTATTTTTTATTATTTATTATTTTTAGCATAGTGAATATAGACAATCTTCAAAGCTAGAAATAATTTGTATGGTGATTTTTGTTGGTGAAATTATTACTTTTTAAAAAGTATTTTAACTTGTATAAATAAGTTACCCATGCAATTGTTTGCATTAGCCGATCAGTTTCTAGTCAATACTAATATTATATTTTCATTATATAATATCGATATTGTAATTCGGCCTTATTAAATATATCTTTATTTTGTCAGGTTTGTATACAGCTTATGCGATAAAATAATAATCATTCTTGATTATTCAAATTAGTTGACACTTTACAGTAGCCCGTAAATAATAAACTAGTCTGGCTTTAAGAACCATATTAAACCTCGATTTTTTTAAAAATAAGCATGAACTATGTCTTGTTTTTTCCTGATTTATTACAACTC